AACAACTTAGTCCTTCATCAACGGACATGCGCCCCGTGTCGTCCTTCATCAGCGGACAGACGCCCGCGTCATCCTTCATCAATGGACCGACGCCCCGCATCGTCCTTCATCACAGACAGACGCCCAGCGTTATCCTTCATCAACGGACGAACAACTTAGTCCTTCATCAACGGATAGACGCCCCGCGTCGTCCTTCATCAGCGGACAGACGCCCACGTCATCCTTCATCAACGGAAGGACGCCCCGCGTCATGCTTCATCAACGGACGGACGCCCAACATCGTCCTTCATCAACGGACGGACACCCGCGTCATCCTTCATAAACAAACGGACGCCCAATGTCGTCCTTCATCAACGGATGCCAGCATCTAGCCCATCAAAGGACCGTCTTCATCAACGCCGTCGTCCTCAATGGGCAGGCGTCGTCCTCAATGGGCAGGCGTCATCCCCAATGAGCATGCGTGGTCCCCACCATCAGACGAACGTCAGCGCCTAGTCCATCAAAGGACCGGCTTCATCAACGTTGTCGTCCTCAATCGGCTGGCGTGCGTCATCCATCAAATGGTCGGCTCCATCAACGATGTCGTCCTCAAGGAGCAGGCGTCATCCTCATCATCAGACGAACGCCAGCGCCTAGTCCATCAAAGGCCCGGCTTCACCAACATCGACGTCCACGATGGGCAGGTGTCGTCCTCAATGAGCATGCGTCGTCCTCACCATCAGACGAACGTCAGCGCCTAGTCCATCAAAGGACCGACTTCATCAACGCTGTCGTCCTCAATGGGCTGGCGTGCGTCGTCCATCCAATGGTCGGCTGCATCAACGGTGTCGCCCTTAATAGGCAGGCGTCGTCTTCCATCCTCAAATGGACGTCAACGCCTAGTCCTTCATCAAAGGACCGGCTTCATCAACGCCGTCGTCCTCATCTTCGGACAAGCTCCCAAGCTTGGACCATCATCATCAGAGGACCGACGTCCTTCATCGTCAGACGGGTGTACAAGCTCGGTCCTTCACCATCGGACCAGCTCCACCAACGCCATTCCTCATCATTAGCGCCACCCTTCATCTTCAGACGGGCGTCCAGCGCCGTCATCATCTTCAGAACGGGCGCCCAACGCCTCGTCCTTCACCATCGAACCGGCCCCTCATGGCCAACGCCCTTGTATTACGGCAGACCCCTTGGTCTCAAGGGAATCTTGATGATAAAGACACGTCAGGACCCTCGGTCTCAACGTGATCATCATATTATGAAGGCCGGTCTCAGCCACTCCTTTACCGGATGCCGACCGTTGCTTGGATTTATGGACCGGCTCATCATCGGTGTCGTCCTCATATTCAGTCCTCATATTCAGACAAGGGTTCAACGCTTCGTCCTCATACTCAGACGACGACTTGATGCTTTATCTCAAGACCAGCTCCCAACACAAAAGCCGTGGTCTAGGGATCGGCCTCAGCCATCCCCTCAGCAGACACACACCGCCGCGGCTCCAGGCCAAAGGGCTCACACATTTTGCTTCGTTTTGGGGGCATCCGGTGCACTCTTTTTCCCCCGTTAGGATTTTTCCCACTGGGTTTTTCCTAATGAGGTTTTTAACGAGGCATCTCCCCATTGTGGATCAAAAGGTGTCGACCCTCGGCCCCCTATTGAAGACACACATCACTCTACTCCCCTTCACCTCATTACATTTGCCTCAAGGACTGGGGGACTGGGGGACTACATTGGCCTCAAAAAACTAAGCAAACTCAAAAGCAAAACAAAGCAAGATCGTCACATCATCAGCATCACAACAACAAATACATAGATTTGCCTTCGGCCAATCCAAAAGGTGAACCTAGAGGACGCGCATCATCCTCAAAATGACGAGTCACACTTCATCACAAAGCTACGCATCGACGCCACAACGTCTACACGCCTGTGGGTCAACCTCGGCCAAAGCCAGAACACAAAAGGAGAGCAAAGAACAACAGACGTACATTGCCTACCAAAGAAACAGTCACGCCTCATCTTCCACAAAGAACAAGCTCAAGGGATCTACATCACCCTTCAAAGACAATGACAAGTCATCGCCATTGAACAACGCCAATGACATCGACCATTATCGTCCATCGGCTACAAAGAAGCCATCGGACCACGCATGGCCCCTCATCGGCCAAAAGCAACCAAACATGTTTACTCCCTTTCACTTCGTCTTCTTCTCAGCTCAGAGAGTGGGGGACTCCTGATAGAGTATATGGGCTCAGACCCCATAGCCAACATACTCAAAGGATCAAACTACTAAAGATAGACACCCACTTTGCGTCCCTTCGGCCGTTTGGGTCCCCCATCGGCCAACAAGGTGTCGCATTGGCCCGAACTAAAATTACTCAGGATGCGACCTGGAGACAAAGTGGGATCACATCGGCCAAGGGAGTGCATCGGCCAAGGGCCGCATCGTCCATGGACCACATCGTCCATGGATCGCATCGTCCGGACTTCGTCCAGGCAGAATGTATTTTCCTATTTTATGTACTAAGTGTTGTACTCAGCCCATTAGTGGCCCTATTCGCCCAAAGAAGACATGATTATTGTAATGGGCCTCCTAAGCCCAAGGCTAGGGCCCAAATCCACATTTTTACCTATAAATAGACCCCAAGGGGCTAATTATAGGGAGTTCTAGTTGAGAAATATAATTACTCACTTTCTCTCTCTAGCTCTCACTTCTCTCTAGAATTACTCTATCAGATAGCTTCAACACAACGGTTTCGGTTTAACCAACAAAATTAACCGCAACCGTGCATTAATAAACCGAAGTTACTTACTTGTGAAACCATCAACGAATAACGAGCGTATTCGTCGATCGATTCTAGTAATAATTAATATATGAAACAAAATTAATTGATCCTTTAAGTAATGTTCAAAATATTAATATGAAATATGAATAGGAATTAATTAATATTCAAGGAAGAATATTAAAGATGATAAATCCTACTATAACTAATGTCAAGATGTTAACTAATTGTCATCTTAGCAACACTCCCCAACATTAATATATAGATGAAGAAAAATAAATACTACCATAAGTAATGTCGAGATGTTAACTAATTGTCATCTTAGCAACACTCTCCAACATTAATATAGAGATTAAGGGAAGAATTAATATTCAAGGGAAGAAGTTAAGAAAATAACTCACAACTTTAATAATCAACAAGCTTCAAGAGCAACACCAAGAAATGAAAGTTTAGCTCCTCATTTGGAGACTAAACATGCTTGAAAAATATAAAGAAATGCTATTCTAAACTGAGCTTAACAGAGTATGTGAATTGGTGAGAAAGAAATGAGGTGTATTTATAGGTGTTTGGAGCTGCCAGAGCCATTTACCCGACCGAGTTTTTGAGAAACCCGATCGGGTTTCTTGAGTAAGTGCCTGGAACCTTCATCAGTCACAATATACCCGACCGGGTTTTTGATTTACTCGATCGGGTAAAAGACAAATCTTTACCAAATCTTTGCCTGCACGTTAAATTGCCTCCAAATAAGATTTGATTTTCGGATCAAGTCAATACCCGACCGGGTAGATTCTTTACCCGACTGGGTAAATGACTATTTTTCCAAATTTTCACTTTATCTTGTTCCCTTTCACTTTCCTTGACCTTTCTAAGGATTCTCTTGATGATCTTCACCTGGTCAAAGCTCAGAATAAACCTAATCTAAACAAATTAAAAACAAAATAGGAAAAATAAAGTATTACACCAAAAGTGTGCAATTTCCCAAACAACAACAAATAAAACTAGTTAAAATTACAAACATAAATAATAACAATTCTATACTATCAAAAACAAAGTCAATATTGAGCCTCACAAAGGAAGTGTTTGAAGACATGCCAATCAACAGTCATATTAGCCATCGAAGCAAAATGGCCACAACCCTTACAAAAGGACATTGTAATTCAACAGGATAATACAAGATCACACATTTTAGATTCAGATGCAAAATATATGATTGCATCTATGTATGATGGGTTCAATATAAACTCTATTAAACAACCCATAATTCCTAAAGATACTAGACATTGGCTTCTTAGGGGAAATAGTCTTTGAAAGCCCAATCACCCCCGAGAATGTTGATGATATGTTAAAGGCAGATGATGATGGTAGATATCATGAAAATAGAATAGCAGAAGGGGAGAACAACCATAAGCTACACCACACCACACAAAGGATAAAATGATCTCAGAAGGAATGTTGCACATGAGCATAGAGCTAGATGAGGGACTTCCAAAAGGCACATATGATATTTCCCCCCAAACAATTAGGGTCCTCAAATGGAACTATCAGTGAGATTACTAAAGGAAAGCCAAATGAGAATGACCTCCATGTTTAGTTACGAATTTAATCCAAATGACATTTTTTGGGTTTGTATCTTTTTTCTTTTATTAAGTTGGACGAATATTTTGAAACATTTTAAAAACAAAAGTGGGAAAAGTAATAGAGATAAGTACAAAAGTGTACTTGTAATGGTACACATTTCCAAATAGAGGTTCGAGGTTCATTTTTTTTTAATAAAGTGATACATGTTTTTCCATCTGTTAGTATTCATGGAGCATCCGTCTAAACTCCGTAAAAAAGAATTTGACATAGCCTTATTTTTTATGACGTTTAGACAGAAACTCTCCTTACTTATCCCAAAATAATACTATGTGACATAATTAGCAATTTTTAACCGTATTTGTGCAATCCAATACTCCCTCTGTATCACATATATCTTCCCACTTCCAAAGTGAGTGAGATTAAGAATAGTGAAATGGGGTATGAATTATTGAGGGTATGATGGGAAGATGGTGAAATAATGTGATGGAATGAAGGATAAATCCAAAAAAAGTAGGTGTAGTAGTGTATTATTTTTTAAATTATTGAGGGTATGATGGGAAGATTTAGAAATGGGAAGATATAAATGTTACGTCCAAAAAAGGAAAGTGGGAAGATATGAATGTTAGAGAGGGAGTACAAAACTAAATAGGAGCTAAAAAAATAAAAAGAAAATACAAAAAGCAAAGCTGCCAAGAGAGAGAGCGAGAGATTTTTTTTGACAGAAGAGAGAGAAAATCTGGGGCCAAACCGGAGGAAGAAAGAAGGAAAAATGGGTAAAGCCACAACAACAGAAGCTGCTGCTTCTGCAACAGTAGCCGTAGGAGCAGACAAAATGAAGATGAAAAAGAAGAAAGGGCGGCCTTCTCTCTCGGATCTCAGGAACAGAGACGACCAAAAATCCGCTGCTAGCCGCCGATCGACCCGGCGTAACCCTAATTTTCGTTCGTCCTCCCCCCCACCGGACTCCGATGAGGATGACGACGAAAGGAAGGAGAAGAAAGTGAAACTTGTTCGCCGGTTGCCCCAATCTACCAACCAGCCCCAGCATTTCGAGAATTGTTCCCGAAATTCGGATTCGGGTTCGGACCCAGACAACGTGAACCGCGAGGTGTTCTCTAAGAAGCTCAAGGTAGAAGCTGAGGATTGCAGATCTGAACTTGCTGTTCCTGATCAGGTCCTGGATATGAAGGTTTATATGATACTCCGTATTATTTTATTTTTATTTTGTGAGGCGACCAGGAGAGGGGAAATTAAAGAAACGATTTCCGGGTTCTTAAAATTCAAATCTATAGACTTTATTAATGTATTTCTATTTTCAGAAAATTGATGAACATAATAATCTCGTCTTCCTTATTTTTAGAAAAAATAGATCTTCGTATTTATCTGTACCTCAAAATGATCACCAATGTCTAATTTTGGCGCGCAACCCTTTGACTTTGACGATCTGATTTCTCAAGTGCATGTGTTTTGCCTCTGACACAAATTTATGTGACAAATAAATAAATAAATAAATAAATGTATTCCTGTATAAATATAAAAATAAATGTATGTATTCCTGTATATATATACGAGCGCACACACCTATACGCTCACGAACATATAATTATGTATATGTATGCACATACTTACATACAGAAACATACTTTCCCCCCTGTATGTATGGCTTTTTAAAAAATGCGTACGTTTAAAAAGACCAATTTTTTGGTCTAAACTGTTCTTATACGGAGTATGCTAATTAGTGCGGTAGTTTCTAGTTTATGGAATTCCACTTTCGTTAGTTTTGTATACATGTGCCTAAAAAAAAAGTATACCTATCTCCTTTCAAGGATTCCCAGATTTTTTTAGTATTTACTTGCTGCTTTTTTTATGTGCTTTGTTTTACTCCCTTAATTGGCGGCCCTTAAGAATGAAATTGTCACTGTATTTAAGCTTGTAGTATTATTGCTGAAACTGCTATAAATTTGTATTAATTTTGCAGGCAGAAAAGACTCTGAAAGTGACGGACTCTCAGCATGGTTTTAATCTAAACTTTTACTTGTTTGAAATGTGGAAGTTATATACTCATCTATTTTATGTATAAATGTATCTACACTTATGGATAAACCATTTTTCTTTTCTGTTAAATGTAATTGTGGTCATTAATTTTGTCTACAGGGTCACCATTGGCCTTCGACCCCACAAAACCTTTGCCAGACAAAAAGTTGTTGTTGTTCATTCTTGACAGACTTCAAAAGTGTGCTTTTTTTTCCTTAGCTCCCCATGTGACCTGTATATTCTTTGAATGCTTACTGTTTTCTTATGCCTGCTTTCTCTTCCTATAACTACTACAGGAAGGACACTTACGGTGTTTTTTCTGAACCCGTGGATCCAAACGAGGTCAATTTCTTAACACATTTTTCCTGATAATTTGTATTTCCTGGAAATCATTTTTTGAAATGGTTTATGTCCAGCTACCTGACTATCATGAGATTATAGAGCATCCCATGGATTTTGGGACTGTTAGAAAGAAGCTTGATGGACGGCGTTATACGACACTTGAGGAATTAGAGGTCAGTTATAGAATTTGAAATGTAGTCATATGATTTTATGTTGTTTTGTGGTTCCTGTTATTTTGCATGTTATTGAATATTGATGATGCCTTTTTTGTTAGTTTGATTCGTTGCTATGAAAGTTATTGATTTAGTGTTTGAGCTTTCACATACTTCTAAAACATAACCACAAGTACTCTATTATTAGGGCTGAAAGTTGCTGTCTTGCTGTCATGACTTATTGTTACAGATGTCAATCCTTCATTTACCATTTACAAGATTTTAGCTTTCTATCATGAGAGTGATGGTTTTTAGATGTGGTGGTTGGAGATGTTTCCAAATGGTTTTGTTGTTCAGTATGAGCATAGTAATATTGGGAAAAGCTGCTAGAGTTTCGTACTATTGTATACACATATATATACTCACGCCTATATTTTTATCTTATAAGAGTAACAATAAGACATGTGCTTGAGGCTTGATTTGTCCTATACATTTTCACGGCTTTCCTTGATAAACATATACTCTCTCCATTCTTAAATGAATGCCCATTTAAGAAAATTTTGGTTTTTACTATTATGGTGATAATTAATTATGGCTCAATTTGTCAAACATACGACTATTAACCTTTAGGTAGTTAGAGCAACAATGAATAGTAACCATTTGTATGTGAAGACAACTCTGTCATTCTAGGAAAACTTAGTCATCTTAGTATGCCCATCAAAGAAAAGTTACGGGGTTTTTAGGCGATAATAAAATTCGATACAAAATACAAATAATCAAACATACCCATATTAATTTCAGGGTAATAGAGGTACAATTAGAAGTAAACATCATAGAGGGAGATCAACTTATCCATTTTCGTATGTTTTATTGATTGGGTTGCTTAATGATGATGAATTATTTATGAAAAGAGACTATGTCCTTGATGGTCACTTACTTAATAATAGAGGGATTACTTCGGTATTCTTTTAAAGTACTACATCCGTTCCTAAAAATCCTTCCCGGTTTGACTTGGCACGCTTATTAATAAAGTGGAAATGTATGGTAGTGGTTGTGTAAGAGAAAGGTAAAATGAATGTGAGCCACACAAATTGTCCAAAAAAGGAAAGTTGGAAGTATTTTTGGGAACGGCCCAAAAAGGAAAGTGGGAAGTATTTTTGGGAATGGAGGGAGTATAAAGCTTTTGTATTTTTGGAAAAGTATGAAAGGGGAGTCAAAAGAAGCAGTATTTCAAGAAGTACCTATGTTTGGAATTACTAACAAAGTGAGACGGTATACATTAGCATGCCTTAAACTTAATTCTTTTCTTATATAGAGAAAACTGATGTTTTTTTAGTTCTCTGAATCTTTTGTCAGCTAACCCATAGTTTCTACCCCGCTTCAGCCCCTCTATGCATAGATCTCCATAATTCCATATTGCATTTTTCTTTTAGATCCTATTTTCCACTTCTCAACTTGTTTTGGGATGGCTGGTTTTAATATTGAAACACTACATTATTCAATGCAGGCTGATGTGCTCTTAATATGCTCAAATGCAATGGAGTATAATGCACCAGATACAGTTTACTTTCGACAGGTATGTCTAATTCTTCATTGCCCATCATCTTGTTTTTATAATCTTGATTCTCCCCTGATCTTGAAAATTGACTATGTTAGGCACGGTCAATTCAAGAACTGGCAAAAAGAGACTTCGAAAATTTGAGGCATCAGGGTGAGGATGGTGAGCCTAAGGTTGTTCGTAGGGGAAGGCCCCCAAATACTAAAAACATGAAAAAGTGTATTGAGACTTCCCCTGTTGACCGTGTGGGTTCCGAGCTTTCATCCGGCGCTACTCTTGCATGTGTTGAAGATATTAAAGCAGCTGGATCTAATTCTTACAACTTAAGGAAGGGACTGCCGGTTTATAGGTTTCGGTCAAATGACATTTCTTTGTACAGACCGCGAAATGGTGATGGTTATGCAGAACGGACGAGTGATTGGAATGAGGAGTTTCCAGGTTTCTACATTTTAATACGTAGTATTATCGTTGTTGTTACTACATTATTATCATTATTATTATTAGGGAAAATGTGCAATCAGACCCTTGATGTTTATTTGCATGTGAAAATAAGCCCATAATGTTTTAAGGTGCAAAATACCTCTAATGTTAAAATTCGCTCTTACCCAAGAAATAGATTTTAAAAATACCAAAAACATTTAATGAATATTTTGAGTGGAAAAAACTTTATCGCAAATAACATAAAGGGAAAAAATTGCTTTAAAACTGTTGCCTATAAAAAAATAAAGAATTGATTTTCTTTTAAAAAACTTTCTTTGTTAAACCAAAAATTTATTTTGGGTTAATTTGTTTCTTTTTATTACTCATATAGTCGTTCATAACCAAAAACATTTAACGAATATTTGTAGTGGAAAAAACTGTATCGCAAATAACATAAAGGGAAAAAATTGCTTTAAAACTGTAGCCTATATAACAAAATAAAAAATTGATTTTCTTTTAAAAAACTTTCTTTGTGAAACAAAAAAATTATTTTGGGTTAATTTGTTTCTTTTTATTACTCATTCATAACAAAAATGATATTTCAAGCATATAAGAAATGCTTTAAAACTTTTAACATAAATTTAAGGCTGATTTGTTGCAATGTTTTAAATAATGTGGTACAGTTTAAAAAATGTGTTACGGAGTATAATTTTTTAGTTCTGTTTATACTTAATAGATTAAAACTACTTATTATTATTTGTAGTATGCCATATTGTCCATGTCTACTAATTAGTTAACTTAATCTATTAAGTCTAAAAATGGTAAAACGAAAAATAATAATTTTAATAGTTGCAAAACAGGTTTTAAAATTTTGTGGCACCAGCCTGAAATTTATGTCAATATTTTAAAACTTTTGTTTATATTGAAAAATACTCTGTATCTATTATATTTATTATATTATATAAAATCAAAATAATAAGAAGCATTTAGCACTAATGATGTTTTTATTTAGGTTAGAGTTCAAAATTATTTTTTTATTTTCTTATATAGTTTAATGTTTTAAAGAAAAACAAATTTTTACTTTTACTATTACATTATTGTTGTATATGTTACAGTTATTTTAGCCAAAATAAGTTTTATTGTTATATTTTTTCGTTTTTACCACTCAAAAATTAACTAATTATTTTTGGGGTTTTTAATTATAATTATTTTAGCATGTAAAGCTAATAAAGTTCAATTTGCCCTTTGATGGAATCATTAGGGCCTTAGGGACAAGTTTGCACCTTTAAAAAACATTAGAGGGTTACATAATCCTGTCGATAAACACTAGGAGGCATTTATCCCTTTTCTCTTACTACTACTATTGCTATTTTTATCTTTTATTGTAATATACAACTTTTATTTTCCCAACTTTTCAGCTAATATTTTGAGGGCTGATATGAAGTATGGCAGCAAACACTTTGCAGTAGATGATAACAGGCGTGATACATACAAGCAATTCAATTCAACCGCTTCTGGAAATGAACCATCCTTATTCGACAATGCATATGGAAATGTGAAGTGGTTAATGGCTGTATGTTTTTCAAGCTAATTTACGTTACCCCCCCCCCCCCCCCCTCCCGACGTTCAGGATTTAATTGTCCTTTGATAGAGTGACATTTCTTAGGGACAACCAATTAGGTTGAGTTCAATTGATTTGGTGGTGCGGATTGAAATACTTGGAATTAAATTATAGGAGATATAACTGTCTGAAAGTGAGATACGGAGTTTAATAAAGGTACTTGTTTGATACTTTGATGAGGAAAGTTCACTCAGTTACTGCCAGTCGAACAAATCCAGTGCATCACTGCATCCAATTTAGGCATTGGGAATTTTCAGGAATAATGGAATAAGGAAATTTGCAGGAGTTCCGACACCTAACATGGGCGTAGTGATTTCCTTGGAATTCTTTTATACCCGAAAATCCAAAATTGAACGAGGCTTTACTTTCTTCAACTTGAAGCCGGCATCACAACTCTGCTTCTTACAGTTGCTCCTTGTTACTCCTGCACTTGATTTCACACGTTTATTCTGATAATATGGTCCGATGATATGCAAAATAAACTTGAGACTATTAAATTTAGAGCCCATTTGGTGAGGTTATTCTGCCGAGTTTTCTGAAAACTGAAGCGTTTGTTATAACGTCTTTAAGCCAATCAAGTGATTCTACAGCTTAGAATAGTTCTGTTCTTAGCAGAATAAGCCTTGGCTACTTACCGGGCATTTAATGTTTTCTTTGTCTAGCACAAACCATTTTTTTTCCATTTAGAGCCCATATGGTGTGGTTTATTTGTCTGAAATGGATATGGTTAAATCTTCTGAGTTCTTTGAAAGGAAAATAGTTTGGGGAACATCCATTTTGGACCAAATAAATAAGAAAAAAACTACATATTCTGCTGGTAAGTAGAATGCAGCTGCCTTAATGATAGCACCTGATGCACTAGGGAAGTTGATAGTGTCTCTATTGCCTTATTTGGACCTCTTAGCCTTACTGCATAATCACACTTTGCAGGTGGGGATTCAGCTGGAGCAACATGCTTACGCAAGAAGCCTTTCTAAATTTGCAGCAAATCTGGGGCCTGTCGCATGGAATATAGCTTCAAAGAAATTACAACACATTCTCCCTCCAGGAGTCGAATTTGGACCAGGGTGGGTGGGCGAAAGTGTAGTTCAACCACTAGCCTCATCCCTTTCAACCGAAAATCAGAATCTGCCACTAGCCTCATCCCTTTCAACCGAAAATCAGAATCTGCCAAACAGACCCTTAACACCGCCTTTCCCTGCTTCGAATCTTGGCACCACCGGCACATCATCTGAAGCTATGATTGAGGCGGTTAGAAGATTGAACAGCCTGAATGAGATGGCGGACCAGTGTGGCATGCCCCGTCAGAAGCCTGTGTTCCATTCTAACCGAAACGGTATGAATGGCATGTTTGGGTATGACCTTAACGTCCGTGTGCAGCCGACGGGCCCCGGGTCTCCAAGTTCTAGTAGTATACAAATTGGTTCACCTAAGCAGCCAGACTTGGCTTTACAGCTATAATAATTAGAGAGTTTAATAATGATGGTAAGCTAGCTGACTAACAGAAAGCTGTAGGTACTTGGAGGAAATCTTGTACAGATTATTATGTATTTCAATTTTTTCATGTTTTTATTATTTTTGTTTGGATTGGATTTTAGAAGAGAGATAAATGGAGAAGAATAGAGAAACGTCGATTTTCTTTTAGAATATTATCATCACATGATGATTGCTAGACGCACGAGATGCATTGTTTGTATGTTTTACTTCATATTCACATTGCGGTTCATACTTCATATTCACATTCCGAGAGTTTCGATTGGTCTACTTTTAAAACGTACACTTTGAAGATTAGAAACGAACAAAACAATTACAAGGCTAAGAAGCTGCATGTCCAACTTTTCTCAGATCAGTTAGAATGTATTACTTGGACTGAAATTTGTTGGTTTGGTCTAGGGGTAGACCAAGATTGGGTTGGGCTCCGGGCCGGGATTGGGCGGTATAGATGGATTGGGATTTGGGATGGGCTGGCTTGACCCGGGTCTGGTATTGTTTAGTCCCGGACCGAACCGCTACTATGTAGGCCTGGCCCAAGTGGTTATAAGAGCAGGTTTCAGGCTGTTTTTTGGCTCCGGGTCAGGCTTGATTGCACTATTTTTTAAATTTATTGCCTAATCCTGCCTCGAAGCCCGGCCCGACCCGGTGTTGTTTAGGTCCGGCTCGGCCCCGTCTTGGTACAAATTTGGGGCTGGTATCGGGCCTGAAATTCTTAAGCCCGAACCTGTCCAGTCCCGGCTCAGAGCCCGGTCCGAACCCGGTCCTGATCCACCCTTACCGGGCGGGCTCGGGCTTAAGAACTTCAGGCCCGGTACCAGTCCGGGTTTGTACCGGGACTGGGCCTAGACATTACTGGGTCAGACCGGGCTTTAGGACAGGACTGGGCAATAAATTAAAAAAAATAGTGCAATCGGGCGTGGGCATGGCCGGATCGGGCCCAAAAAATGAGCCCGAAGCTCGTCCTTATAGCCACCGGGCCAAGCCCTGCGCTGGGATCGGGTCTATACAGTAGCGGGCAGGGCTGGGCCTAAACAGTACCGGGCCCGGGCCCGGCCCGGGCCGACCTGTCCCGGTCCATCCATAGTCTGGTTTGTTTAGTTTGATTTGAATTGGTCTAGTTTTGTAAATGTATTGTCTCTTTGTATTTTATAACTATAAAAGTGTGGTATAGGATTGATACCGTTCATAAAAACATCCTTAATTTACATTGAGTCTATTGCAGTTGGTATACTGTGGGAGCAGCCCACGGTGAGCATGCTGCTCCCACAGAAAAAAAGCGGGTCACTGTTCACACGTGTGAACAGTAACTTCTTTTTTTTTTGTTTTTTCATTGTACTAGTAGCAGAATAGGTGTAACTCGCCTGTAACAAAATGTAACTCATACTAAAAAAATGTAACTGCAAGCAAGTCGAAATATAACTTGTCTAATACGGATTATAAGAAATAAAACATTGATTTTAATGAAAACAAGGAATCCATTTTCTCAATTACTTTATGTTTTGTTTTCAATATTAAGGCCATAATTTTTTTTAATCTTTTCTTTTTGTCCAAAAAATTCATTTTGTTTTTGCAAAAATGTGATTTTTTTTGTTTCAATAGCAGGGATTAACATACATAGTGATTTTTTTTAATATTAAGCCCGTAAATATGTGTTTAAAAATATATATTTTTTGCCAAAAAACATATTTTTTTTTGGAAAGCAATAATTGTTTTTTGATAAAAAATGATTCTTTTGTTTCAATAGTAGACTTTATGTTGTGATGTAATTCATATTATGAAAAATGTAACTCATGTTGATTAAAAATCTAACTTTAGTGTATGCAAAATGTAACTTAGTGAGGCAATTAAGCCCAAAACGTAACTCGCGTATAGAAAGATGTAAATCACACACAAGAAGGTGTAACTCGTGCATAAGAAGATGTAACTCCATACAATATCAAATGTAATTATAGAAATTCTCTATAAACATAACTCACACATACAAAAAATGTATTATTCTCATGTTTTTTTCAAATTTAAATTGAAATAAACAAATTTAATGTCTATAACACACAAGAAAAAAATAAAAGAGATACAAAATATATTATAGAAAAAGTGTATGAATATAAAAAAAATACAAAAAAGTGTATAATAAATGTAAAAAAAAGTAGACAAAATAAGAAATAATGTATGATTACGAAATACAATATACGATGTACTTATTTTATGTGGATTAATAAAATTTTGTAATAAAATTTGTAAAGAAAAAAAATTAATTTAGTTATAATTTAATTAGTTCAAGATAAGGATAAGTAAAAAAATCACAAATAATGAGATGTAACTCATGCATAATTACATGTATATCGCGCATAAAAATATGTAAGTCACCAATGAGTAGATGTAACTCCATGTAGTATCAAATATAACTTCAAGAATCATGTATGAGTGTAAATCATACACTTGAAAATGTAATCACATGTTTTATTAAATGTAAATCGCACACTTGAAAATGTAATCTCATGTTTTTATTAAATTTAAATAGAAAAAACAAACTCAATGCATTAAAAACACTAAAAACATATAAAAGAGATAAAATTACATAAAAATGTTATAGAAAAAAGTAATTATAATCATATTTTTAATATTTTAATAATGGAATTGAAGATAATTGAAAAGGAAAACAAGTAAATTAAAAAAAGAAGACGAAAAGAGTCGTGGAATCTATCTACTCGATTATTAAAATATGCCAGAAAGTATTCTAATGTCCATGCCAAATTGCAATAGAAAACGAAGGGAAAGAGGAAGGCAAAGGTCGAAGGAAATTAAAAAACAGGGGGTACGAAGCTGTGCTGGAGAAAAAATGGAGTGACGGAAGAGAATAAAAGCTGGTCAAACGAGAGAAGATTACTTGACTGCGTTATTTTTAATTGCAGAAACAGTGCCGTATTGGATTGGCACACCATACTCATGGTGTGCCGATCCACGGTATAATTTGTGAGTCTATTTGCACGCTTGAGAAAATAATGTCTGCATTTGAAAGGTCACATAGGAAATACGCACGCAAGGAGTCAATATTCTAGTATAAGTGTAAAACTCGTTTTTGTCTTTTAAGAGCATCTCCATTCATGCTCTCGAAATTTATGGTTTTTTATAATGCTTTTTTGCTATGTTATTGTCATGTAAAATATCCCAAAACTTATTATCTTCTTCTCAATCATGATCTCTATTTATCCAGATTTTTATGAGACATACACTTAAATTTAGAATCTCTCACTTAGTTTTTAATGAATGTATTTAAGAGTTAGGAAGGCATGAAGCTTCCTCCTATTCCTCTATATATGCTACGTACATAGTAGTATATATTTGCAGGCATAGTATGTATATAACGAATTTCAAGAATGGGCATATTAAAAGATGACAATAATTATGTTTTGAACCTTGAACTTTGAAAATAATCTTAAATAATCAAGGTTTTGATATTTGATACTAGATTATTTTTCAAAATAATCTCAACATCTCAACCATGATCTGAAAAAATATCATCCACGTCATCAAGATGATCCCCAAATAAACTTATGGATGGGGATGCCTAAGTAAAAAGACTAGCACGATACTATTATATTGGATCAATTAGTGAAAACATAACATAACATTGCACGATTCTATGAGCAAAGTTTCCAACAAAACTTTATACTTTATTATAAAATATAAAAATATATATATTATTTTTATACTACGGAGTATAATATACGGAGTACTACATATATAAAATATGATTTTTTGAAGACTCGTTTATTTGAATTATGAAAATTATTTGAAAATGTCCTTTGAGAAAATTACTTTCACAAATGTATAAAATTTATAAATTTCACACACACATATAGTAACTTAAGTATTGCCCAAAGTTTCTTTTATATATATATAAAATATGATTTTTTGAAGACTCGTTTATTTGAATTATGAAAATTATTTGAAAATGTCCTTTGAGAAAATTACTTTCACAAATGTATAAAATTTATAAATTTCACACACACATATAGTAACTTAAGTATTGCCCAAAGTTTCTTTTATATATATAGAAAAAACAGTCAACTTCAAAAAATTATTTGACTGTCTTCCCGATCGAATTTTGAGCTAAATTTTTTGTGGATAAACTAGACTTGATGAACATGCTCAAAAAATTTCATCAAAAAATTCCACTGAAAACCGTTCCAAACGGCGGAGTTCGGATGTCTCGAAAAAATTCCACCGGGACACACACACACACACACACACACAAAGAGAGAGAGAGAGAGAGAGGTTCAAGTCCGAAATTTCGGACAAAGACGTTCAGGCGAAGGCGATGGCTTTCATCCGTCTAGAAGAAGATTTACAATCCCATCACAGACAAATCGAGTACGAAGGAGGGCACGGAAAATCAGAATCTTCCAAGAGGCGTGATTATAAGCATGGAAATCCTTATTCGAGACCTGAAGAACGAGTCGTCACTTCTGTGACGAGATAGATCATATGACACCATTGAAGTCGTCGGACGGGGGACATGCCGTCCGATGATAAACAGGTTCTGAATAGCTGCAATACGGTACTCTTAAAGTCCTTTCATTTTTGGTTTATTATTTTCTATTTGTCACCCCTGAGACAAGATAGACTAGACGACATGGTTGAAATCATCGGGCAGGAGGCATGTCGTCTGATAATAGACCTGATGAGATGATTGAAATCGTCTGACTATAACAGATTTTGACGACAAATGTCTATTTAGGGAAATTCATATATGTATTGTTAATTCATTACTTTCCTTTACCTATAAATGGTCACTAACTTAAACATCGGAGGGCCGTTGGCTTCTAGCCAATGGCCGATGTTAGTGAATTCCTTTTTACACAGGTACAATCAACAATTGACGAGACAGAATTTTAACATACAAAGCCTTACAATACGTCAAGATACAATTGACGGGAGGCTTACATAAATCAAAGTCTTACAACACGTCAAAACGCAATTGACGGTGGGCTTACATAAAACAAAGCCTTACAACACGTCAAAACGCAATTGACGGGGGGCTTACATCAAACGAAGCCTTACAAAAACGTCAAAACACAATTGACGGGGGCTTACATAATTTTAGGGGAAGAAGTGGGAGTTTTCACGTACGCTAAACATGAGTATAAACACCACCGATTCTCCGCAATGTTTTGACCAAAACTACAGAAACACACAAGAGAAGCGTGTGTTCCAAGAGAATGACAACAAAAGCT